AAAAATGTATGGCACATCAAGCCAGGGATCAGTGAATAAAAGCTCCTTTGGTCAGACTGCCCTAACCAGCCCATAAACAGCCAAGGCAAATTAGTAGAAGGCCTTCTCCCTGTTGTGGGGCAATCTCCCTCTCCCTCCTCGACAGGGAAGTTAAGTAGACAGACTACTCTTTTGGTAGGCTTCAAGAGCACACCATGCCAGGACTATGTGTAGATATGTCAGCTGGTATGGCTTCGGTCCAACAGGGCATTCCAATAAGTCCAGATCTGACAGTTGTGTGAGCTTGCTTGAAGCCGACACTGTCTGAAACTAAGGGCTATTCCAACTTGTGAGACACATGTACAGAATCTCAGAATCTAAAATAGCTGAATTGGAAGGTGCCGATTAGCCATCAGGTTCAACCCTCTGCTCAATACAGAACTTTAAGTTAAAGTATCCCTAACTGATGGCTGTCCAGCTGCATCTTGAATGCCTTCACTGTGGGAGAACCCTTGACTTCCCTAAGCAATTTGCTCCATTGTCGTATTGCTCTAACAGTCAAGAATTGTTTCCTGATGTTCAGCTGGAATCAGGCTTCCTGTAACTTGAGCCATTGTTCTGTGTCCTGCAGGCTGGAAGAGAGGAGATCCTGGCCCTCCTCTCTGTGACAGCCTTTTAAATACTCAAAGAATGTTATATCTTCCCTCAGCTTTCTCTTCGCAAAGCTAAACTTCCCAATTCTTTCAGTCTCTCCTCAAAGGGGTTTGTTTTTAGTCCCCTATTCATCTTCGTTGGTGACCTGTGAACCTTTTCCAGTTTGTCTGCATTTTTCTGAAACTATGGTGCCCAGAACTGGAGACAGGAGACAGGACTCAAGATAAAGCCTAACCAGTGTTGAGTAGAAGGGAACTAGTACTCCAAGTGATTTCTCTTAATGAAACCAAAACAACATTTCCATCTTTGCAGCCATATCACATTATTGACTCATATTCAGCTTGATTCATATTCATATGCAACAATTCTGAGCTCCTCCTCGCTTGCAGTATTGTTGAACCAAGTATCCTCCATCTTGAAGCTATGTATTTGGTTTCTTTTTCCAAGGTGCAGAACTTTGCATTTGTGCATGTATAGACATAGAAGAAGACCACATACTTTATATTCTAGTTTCCTTTGCACATTTTTGGAAGACTCTCATTGGATGCTATTAGAGCAGCGTTATCTGTTATGGTGCATAAAGCTCTGTCCAATTTATTTATTTATTTGATTTTTTTTATCCTGCCCCATCAGCCAGTAAGGCTCACTTGTTACCCCGAGTTTTTTCCCTCTCCTGTCAGTTTCATTTTAAAGCCCTCCTCATGAATTCCTTCATCCTGTGTCCAAACACATTCTTCCCCGTCCCTGTGGGATCCAACCCATCTCTTGCCAGCAGTCCACATTTCAGGAAGTGTAGCCCATAATCCCAGAATCCAAATCTCTCACATCAACACTGTCTTCATAGTCAGACACATCATAGCCATGAATGTGTCTGGCTTTCCTTTTCTATTCCCCTTCCATGTACTAGAAGGATGGTTGTGAAAACTATGTGCGCCCAAAGTTCTTGAGTTTCCTTCCCAAGGCCTCAGTCTGACGTGATTTCTTCAGAGCTCCATTTGGTGTGACAGAAGGAAGGAATATACAGTATGTCAATGAGCTCAATGAGTATTGGCAACCCCTCAATCACATCTCCAGTCCATTTGCTGGGGAGGTAGCATACCTAGTGTGTTTATGGTCTTTGTGACCAACATGTGTTTCCATTCCGTGCAGCAGGGCCTTTCCCACAACTATCCTTCTTTTCTCTCTTGCTGGAGGTCTTGATTACATTGCCTGTGCTTGACTGACATTGAGCCTCTTGCTTGTTGTTACACAGAGTGCCTGGTAGTTCTTCCTCTGTAGGCTGTAATCCAGTCTCAACTCCAAGTACCTGAATGTGCTTCCATAGTCCCATTGCTTTCAGTGGTGCAGTGCTGCCAGCTCTGCCAGTCTTGCTATTTTGCACTGGATATTAGGGAGCCTCCAAGTTTAGGTCCTTGTCAACTTCAAGAGTAACCATTGTAGGACTTTGACCTAAAATACAAAAAATAATGTAAAATGCAACATAAAACCAGTGGAAGGGTGGGGGTGGTCTTGCTAGTTGGTCATTCTTAGAACAGGTAGCAGCAAAGTGACCAAAGGAGCAAAAATTTAACTTCTATAAAAGGGCAGTTGAGATCCATCCTCATTTTGTAGGCCTAGTTCAAATGACCTTAGAAGAAGGATGGATATGAACATAATAAATATGTACTTCTAGCAAATTAAACATTGAAAAACCAGATAGTTTCCTGTTATTTCCTGCCAATCATACCATAGTAAGCCCATTTTTTGATCAGATGTAGCTAGGGCATCGTTTTACATAGGTTTAAGGGACACAAAAAAAGAGAACAACCCCAGTGGAAGAGAAGAAACAGGAGGTTGCTTGTGCAGCTTGCCATGCTGGAGCCTCAGGCAGCAGTGCTGTTCTTGAGCAGCCTACTGTTTCATGTGTTGATCCCAAAAGAAACTTCACTTAGGTGGGGAAAGCGGGAATACAATTTTCTCTGGTCATTGCTTATTTCTGGTTCCAATACCATCTGGCTTGTGGCTTCCATTTGTCTGTCTACTTCCTTTCAGCCCATGCCTAGGAATATCTTGGTTGCATTGAACATGGGAAGTTGACACACTGAGTCCAACCATTATTTAATTTGATTGATAATGGCTTTCCAATATTTCAAGCAGAAGCCTTTCTAGAGACTATGGGAGATGCCAGGAACTGACCATAAGATATTCTGTATTAGCAACACCTGTTACAGTGCCAGAATTGTGTCAGGCTTTCATCAAATTGTGTCAAGTTTTCATCAAATTGCCGTCACTGCATCCTTTGTCATCTTGAGTCACAAACCGGTATTCTTTTCCTGATGAATGCGCTCAGTCCTCAGTCTGACCTTTTTACTTCCTTGTGACTTGAAGCCCAATTCTGTGACTTCCAAGTGGTTTAGGTGAATAGAAGAACTTGCCTTTGCGTTGTCAGAAACTCAGTCCAGGATCTCAGGCCCGAACTGAAGATGCATATTTATTAAGGAAAAAAATTAAAAGAACAAGGAAAAGCAGGTGGGTATTTGAAAATAAAAGAAACAGTACCCCAGTTGTTAACCTACACTAAGCACTTAGCAAAAATATCCCATCTCAATGGATAGGTGACACCCTTAACACTCAGCAGCCATGGATGGTCAGGGTAGTGGTAAGGAGGCAGAATGCTAAAAGCTCTCTTTTCCTTTATCGACTGCCCAACCTTTTCAACAATGGCAGATAGAGGAAAATACTGATCACCATTTGGGCCAGGAAATGCTAATTAAAAGGAGTGCTAATTAATCAAGAGATGAATCTGTGGCAAAGTACAGGAAGAGATGTATAGAAGGCTGCATGGAGCTGTAGCTGCAATTCTGTAGATATCTTGAAGAGAAAGTCATGTATCGAACAGGTTCAGTGTTACCATAGCTAATTTGCAATAATTATGTTTCCCATATATGCATCTCATATTCAGTACAGAATACCTGGACCTATATTATGTGCGATACCTTATGCTGATAGATTCATCACACATACCCCACAACCATGTGACAGGCTTCACAGCTGAATGAAGGTGTTCTCAGTCCACCCAGAGCTCTGCTCACTAGATAACAATGACTGCTTCTGTCAACAATGCCTTTGACCTGTCTTGCACAAAATGCTAACCCATAGTATTGGTTTTTGAATTCTGGGTTGTGCTGTGTGGACACAGGCAAACTAACAAACCACAGCTTATTAACCATGAACAAGTCTGAAAGAGAACCTCTGGTGTGTTGTTGGGTTGTGAAATTGGGCTGTTCATTCTGTGGGTTGCTGTTCAGTAGGTTGTTTTGCTGTTCGATAGGTTGTTTTGCCAGACAACAGAGGCAGCAGGCAAAAACAGTAAAAAGCAAACCAAACAGTTCTTCTATATGCCAGTACTGAAGTCCTGCAAAATGATACAGGGAGAGAGCTGGCAAAGGAGGAGGGAAACAAACAGCCCAGGAATTGAGAAACAAACCAGTTTGTTTATCTGCCAGACAAATCTTGGCTAGGACAAGACTTCATTGCCAAACTGAAAGTGCAAGTACCTGGAATTGGGCATTATAATATTAGCATTGCCAGCTTCCTTTATGAACTCAATTTGCAACAATAAGATCATTATTAACAATTTCAAGGGTCTTTTGTAAGGAAGAACTTGAGGAAATATGGACTGATAAAAATAGCTTTAAAGATTGTAATATATAAAGATTATTGCTTGAAATATCTTTTAGTGCTGCTTGAAGAGCATAGTTTTTTCAAGATCTAAAAAGCTGCATTTTGTTGAATCGAAATGGCAATTGAAATATTAGTACTCTGTTCTAATTCTGCAACCCACACTCCTTTTTTTTTTCTTTTTTTTTTTGGGACACTTCTTGGTTTTGCGTATAAAGTTTTCCCAGCTTTTCTTCCTTTCAAGATACATCCAGAAGATACATGAAGCCTTTTGTCAACTTAAATCTTAAAGACCTGCCAAAGGAAGGATGAGATGCTGTCTCCTGATTTTTTAAAAAAATGGTCTTTGTCTCTTAGTCATACATATTTGCCTGTAACTCACTTAAAAGGGGGGATACTTCAGTATTAATATGACATTGTTGCATTAATATTTTTCTGCACTGTAAAACTAAATATTTGGAAGTGTTACAAGTCCTTTGCCTCCCAAATAAACTTAAGCTGATAAAAGTACATAAAAGGTGTTAAACAAGAGTAGATGGACAGCAGCTGTGTCTCTGCTCTCCCCCTTGCCCAGGCTTAAAATTGTGTGGGTTTTGTTGTTTCTAAACCAAGAAATGCAGCAAAAGTCATTTCATGTTCTAAGGAACCAGGTGTGTACAGTCTAAAAGTAGCAAAGCGTTTTAATATTTTATTTTTCTCGCAAACAGGTTCATACCAAGTTCCACTGCAGGCAGGCACATGCTCCAGGCAGTGATACTTCATGCTTGACATTTTCCTATGATGGCACAATTCTTGCCAGTCGCGGAGGTAAGTGACCATATTCCCTTCAGGGTTGGGGGCTGGATACAAGTTGGATGAAACTTCGAGATGAACTCGTAGAACAGGACTTGGGTGCTTTCTGTACCACGCCCCCAGGTGTGTTTGACCGTAACCCACATAATTCCCACCCTGTGACCATGCTGACTGGGAATGAGAACTTCTTGCCCGCCACTCCAGAGTGGGCTTGCCTCATCTTCACCAGTGCCTGTTCAGTTGCTCTCTCCCACTTGGCCAAGCTGATCGATCACCCCTGGTGGAGAGCAGAATAAAAGAAAGAGGATACTGTTGCGTCTCTGCAAGCTTGTCATTGCAGCCATGCTAAGAAAGGACAGGTGAATATATAGTGCTGGCAGGGAGGAGAAACAGATCTAGGGGTCAGGGGTGTTTCTCAGCAAGTACCCAGTAATGCCAACCTCTGACATTGGCCCTGACAGACCTACCCATTATCAGAAGTACCAGAAATGGACTGCCACCAAAAATGACAGCTGCATGATAAGTAGGTCAGCTTAGATCATATTTTCAGGTTATTCAGGTGAGCCCTGTCCCACTGAAGCTCCCTGGTGGAGGCCAGGGAACAAATGCTCATTGAAACGTCATTGGGATGCAAGCTACAGAGATGGATGTGGCAGTCATAGACTCATAGAATAGTAGAGTTGGAAAGGGCCATGAAGGCCATCAAGTCCAACCTCCTCCTGTTGCAGGACTCAGACAGCTGTCCAATTTCACCTTGAATTCTCCAGTGTGGGAGAGCCCTCCATGTCTCTAGGCAGTTGGTTTCACTGTCATATTGCTCTGACAGTGAGGAAGCTTTTCCTGATGTCCAGCCAACATCAGGCTATCATTTTCAATAGCAAAAGTGTTTCTGATACCATGTTCTTTGGTTGAACTCAAATAAGTATTTGGTGATGGTTGTTGTTGGACTATTCAGACCTCCTGATAACTTAAAGATATGCACATAATTAATAACAAAGGCAGCCTTTGCCAAAATAATTAGCTCTTGCAGGTAACCTGTCAGATTTTGCATCTTTCCCTTTTGTTGATTTTTCTTGTCTTTCCTGGTGCTTCAGGCTTCCACTGTCCCCAGAATGTCACAGGTATCCAGGTGGTTGCTCATAAATAAATTAGCATCTAACCTACTTGTTATACTTTGATCTAAAATCATTTTGAAAGTGAGTGTTTAATGTGCAATTTCCAAAGCTGCTTTTAAAAGAATGGTGTGATGGAAAATACTAATATGGCTTTGGGTAGGCTAGTGTAATTTTAGCCTTTTTAATATGTGCTGAAGAATGAGTATTTGTGCCTTATGTAATGTAAGTATTGCTCTGGACCTTGACCAACAAGAGCAGATGTGTAGTCAGCAGTCAGTCTTAAATTAGCACACCTGCCTAAATTCCAGGGATCAAAGAAAGGATCATGTTTGGGGGAATAGGAACTTCCATTGAATCCCTGATTGTATCCCTTTGTCTGCAATGCTCTTTGCCTGTCGGATATGAGAGAGCTGAGATGGGGCTCAGCTGCAGGCACAAGGGAAAAGGAATGGCCGAAGAATTGCTTATGAGCGTTTCTAGTCTCATTCCCATTGAGAGTAAGCTTGTAACTTGACAGAAATGCAAGAAAGTGATGTTTAAAGATCCACTTCTGACCCTGAGAATAGTTCTTTGAGTAAGTTTTTTGTAACACAGTAATAAAAGCTGATTCAGTAATCCATGACTAGCTTGATCATAAAAATGGGACTGAATTAATTGTCAGCGTCGTCCGGTTTTTCCGCTGGCACAACGGGATTTTGTACAATTAGGTTCTCTTCTGCTTTACAAGAAAATAATACTAATAATGATGATGAGAAATTGGCCATGATGTGCACTGTGATACAACAAATGGTGCATTCCCAAGATCTGCTATAGAATATAAAAATCTACAAGCACAGATCTCATCAGGTCATCTTGCTCATGAAAACAAACTTTTCCTGATAGCTGCAAAGTGGTTTTATTAACCTCATAAGAAGACATACCCTAATGGAGCAGTACACTTATGTACATGTGTTATCTCGTAAAGATCCTTAGATCAACTCCTAAGGAGAACTAATGCTGAGAGAATTGTTGGTTGCCTCAGGCCACTTTGGGTGCAGTCCTGTGCAAATTGAACCAATAAAGACTTACAACTCCTAGCATGTCACAGCTGTTTGGGGCATGCTGGGAGCTTTCGGCCTTCTCACTTTTAAGCTCAGGGCAAAGCACTTCTGTGGAAATAGAAGCTTCCAGAATGTGTAACTTGGTCATCCTGTCATTGCATTATATCAGTTATCTGCTTTGCTTTTTGGAAATGTTTTTATACTGTGCATATGGAAGAACACATGGGAAACAGCAAGAGGATGTATACTTGGAGGGGACAGGGCATTATAACCCCAAGTGGCTCTTCCACATTGAGCCGTTCCCTCTGTAACATATAAAGCAGCTAATTCCATGTCCTTATGGCATCATTTGGTGAAAAGTTCCCCTCTGCTGTAATGCATTGCTGGCTGTTGCTTGCCACCTTGTATTTCTCACAATGTATCATTCCTCCTGCATTGTCAGGCGGCTACTTCATCCTGATACAGACAGTCAGGGTGTTAATTTGAAAAGAAGAAAATGTTCTCAGGTTGTTCCACTGCATTTTTAGCCTAGGCAAGGGATTATTTCATTCTATGAAATAGCCATTCAAGAGGGAATACAGCCCAGCTAATGTGCCCCCATTCGCTATTAGACTGTATAAATAGCAATGCAATGTTTTCTTCATTGTGAAATTTCCAAATGAAGAGTTGTGTTAGTCATTTAAAATGATACGATGTTGTGTTCCACTTCTATCTCACCTTTCTTCCTTGAAATTTCTTGTAGTCTTTCCATTTATATCTGGGAACATACAGTCGCCACACCTTCCATGTTGCTACTCATGTTATTCTCAGGAATATTTATTCTGTGCGCATTTGCCACACAGTGGGGGTTCTGTGTGGGGGTTCTTTACATAGCTTAAGCAGTGCCACCTTCATTGGGAGGTGGTTCCTTGTAAGTTACGTAAGCCCAACAATTTAGACAGAGGGTTTTGCATGTTCTGTGGAACTGTCTGGGTACACGCTTAGAGAAAGTGGCAGCTACATCAGCCAGGTTTATTTAAAAGGCAGCAAAAAGGTGAAGTCTTGTGATTCAGAGACTTGAATTCAGAATGAACCTGCATGCAATGCACATGCATAGAGGAGAGACGAGAGAAGCTGTAGTCTCTGAGTGGAGAAACTTGAACATGTTTGCACAAGATGTGGTTTTCGTGACAAGAAGAGTGTTATATGTTAACTGCCTTGGGGACTTTTTATAGAGTTCATAGGCAAGAAAATGAAATCTTGATCAGATGTATGAAGTAGACTAAAAAAGTAGTGGAAATTTATACCCAAATGTCCAGAAAAAGTAAGGGGGAAAAGTAGAATCAGCAAAATTATGTCTCTGCCTTGGTGGATAAAGGACATAAATGTTACGAATTATTGAGCTGCCTAGAACTTAAGGCTAGGTTATAAAAATAGTGATATGGCTGTTAATTAATTTTCATAAAGATGGGTGGTTTTTGCTGGTTTTACTTTACAGAATTAGCATTGTCCAAGTAAAGCAATGGGATATGCTCTCCTCCTCCTATAAAGCTGTCTGTTTCTTAGGCTGAACTCCAACAAGTTAACAATTTCAGACCTAAAAATTATGATAAGACAGCAAGCATCTTCTTATCTTGAAAACAGAACATAACATCAGGCCAAAGACCTGATGGAAAAGACTATCTGGAAAAGAAGAAGTTGGACCAATGGGTGTGGCAACATTGGCCAGGGAATGAAAGTGGAGATAAATGAGATAGCAGGTTGGCTTGCCACCAAAATGCCACCTTGTTTAGGGCACCAAAATACCTAGAGACTGGTCTGGTAGTTTGATGTGGTGCAGAATGAAGGCATTGTTCCTAACATATTTTAAAAACATTAGTAACCATCATCTGACTGGATTTTTCTCTCCTATATTCGTAAATCCTCCAGAGAGATCATGTCAAGGCCTACTTGATCAAGGCCAAAGGAACCTTGATTGCAATTTGTTACTCTGAAGGATGTTTGAAGAGCTGCCAAACCAATTTGTTGTCCTGCAATCATTTTATAAGTAGAAATTATTTAGCTTTTAGGTGCAATGTGGAATTGCTTTAAGGGCACAGTGTGAGATTGTGTTATAGAGTGTATCTTTCTCAACGTGTACTATAGTCAAAGGTGTTTCATGGTTTTCTCTTACGTTTGAAACGGTCTATAGGCTTTCTCCAAATTTTCTGTACTACTTGCTGCTCCTTAGTCCCATTTATTCAGAGATAACCTGGCCAAGGATGCAAAGAAAGATTCTAGTTGTGCTCTGAGAACTCTGACAGGGATATAAGGAAGTTTTGAGTGGTTGCTGAGTTTTATTACATTTTTCTGGAGAACAAGAGCTTCCAGAGTCCTGTTACTTCTGAACATGATCTCTATTCCCCAGTGCTGAGAGCAAGAAATTAGGGTTTAATGTATCAAGTTTGGAGCCTCTTGGCTAAATGGAACTGAAGGATTCAAAACTCCCACCTCCTCATCCATCTTGAACAAGGGATTGCTCTTTGTTTGTTTTTTTGTTTTAATCTGTGCATTTATGATAACTCCCCCTCACACACAACATAATTTATTATTTCAAAGCGTATGCTTTTAGGTATGCTTTGCCTTTTTTGAAGACCATGGGGTCTGGGAAAGGAAAGAATGCCCCTCCTTTCAAGGTTTTGGACAAAAACATTAGAAAAACCATGGCAGGGTATGTGGAATTTTTAACTCCCCTTTTGTAACATTATGTTCAAGCAATAAGGTGGTGTTACTTCATTCTGGCATATTAACTCTTCCTTTTCTATTTCATAGGTGATGATACTTTAAAAACATGGGATATCAGGCACTTTAAAACACCTCTAAATTCAGTGGCCGGTCTCCCTACCTTCTTCCCCATGTGAGTAGTGTAATCATTTCCAGCAGGACTGTTGGGCGCCTCATGCGTCATCTTTCACAGGCTCAAGGGAATGGAAATTGGTCCGGCGAAAACACACCTCCTGAATGTTGCTGCTGTGTGCATCCCACCCGTCATGTAGTCCAAGATGGGTTGGCTCATCAAAAAGGCTTCAGCTATCCTGTAATATGTTTTCGTGCATGAAAATTAGTGCTGTGCCTCTGCTTATGATTTCAGCTGTAGTTTTTCAATCACTCTCATTTGTCCTTGAAAATTAGGGTAGTGGGGAGAGAAATTCTTGTGAAATTTCAAAGAGGGAAATGGGTTTGAGCTGTTCTTAATCAAGTAACAAAGTTGTTGAAGGATGTGAGCATTCCTCTTTTTCCTTTAAAAATTAAAATTCCCTACAGTGTCTGTGTTCACACATAATGCTAAACCACGTTGTGCAGTTACTGCACAGAGTTTCTTACCTTTAGGTTCAGTTGTATGGTTTCCATGCATGTGTAGTTTCCACACTTCTCCATCTGTCCTCCTTAATGGCAGCTTGTAGCCCATCAGCCATGTGGCTGAAAATCAGTCCCAGGGTACATTGCTCCTGCCTGTCACCTGCCTCTTCCTCATTGGTCCACACACTTCTGCTGCTCAAAAGATGCAACCACTGTTGCTCTGGGGTAGCACTGCCCTGTTCTGCCAAGCTTCATGCTAACATGCAAGTATATCCAGCTATATCCCCATTTTCTCCATGCTCCTCCCTGTAAATACGCCCGTGCTCCCCCTTTCCTGTGGAAAGGGCCTCCTCCCCACTACAGCCAGGCACACCAAAGGCATCAGTGTGGGAACCTCTGCCATGGATGGAGGCAGCATGTCCCATTTGGAAGAGCTTCCCAAGGAAGCGCATGTGTGCACCTGCCTGGAAAAGTTTCTGCACTGGCTATTGGGATTGTGTTTGTTCTGTAGCTTTAGTGGGAAGGGAGGCAGTAGGGAACAATGCAGCTTGTTGACCATCCTGAGGAATGTCAGGGACAAATCAGGAGCAGAGTACAGGAGACAGAGCAGGGCTTTGCAGAACGAGCTTGTTGGCAATGCCCGCATGCAGCCTGTTTGCTCCTCTTGTGCAGGGCAACTTTCAGGAGAAGAGAAAGGTAGCTGTGTAAGTAAAACAAAAGCACAGCCATTTCAAAGTGCTGCTCGGGCAAACTGCAGCAACCAGATAAGAATGCTAGGCATGGCAATCTCCAAGGTTGCTGCTGCTATTGCTGGAAGTGGTGTGTGAATCTCACTGCCGTTGAGATTCCAGAACTATAGATGCACATTGGGAAGGCAGTGTGCAGGCAGAGAAGAAAGGGAGGGCAAAGCGGCCATCAGAGCATGGCTGCAGCTGCTTTGGCTGTTACTAGGCGGACCTGGATAGTAGAGAATCCAGGGTGGAGTATCTGCTGCAGCCACTCTTGCCATGAAAATTACTGACAGAAACATGGAAACTGGGTCCAGATAGAAACATAGAAACAGAGTGAGTCAGAAGGGGCCTCCCGGGCCATCTAGTCTGATCCTTGGCTCCAGTCGGCACCGCTCACAACATGCCCACCATGTGCATGTCCAGCCTGTCTTTGAACACCCTCACCGATGGGGCCTCAGCCACCTCCCATGGAAGCCCCCTCGGGGTCCTAACTCTCAGGAAGTGCTTCCTGGCATCTAAATGCCAGATGTGCAAACAAGGTATAGTTAAGCGTGGAAACCATACAACAGACTGTTGTTCTCTCCATGGTTGCATGAACACCATCCTTGCCATGCTTCACCATTCTTGCTAGGTTCATACCTAATAACAAACCATTCCATGGTAGTTTCCACCATAGCTTCTCATTATGTATGACCCTCCCCAGTACATTCAGCAGCTTCCTCAGTTGCATGCACTTCATAAAATGCCCAAGGGCAAACATTAGACATTATGTCCTCCTGTGGTCTTTTAGGAAGTGTGGTCAAGTGGGGAAGTACCTGAAATTTTTTACTGCTGTGGGAGCTGTTATTAAGAACATTTTCAGTCCAATAATTTGTGTGTTTGTTTCTTATATTTCTATACTGCCAAAACTTGACTAGCACAAACCCAACAAAAAGCACCTCCTATTGACAAGACAAAGTGGCACTACTGCCCAGACTGTCAGACATTTGGTCAAAATTTCTATGTCATGTTGACTTGCCCGGAGATGTTAAGCATTTGGCCCTTAATTCTGACCCTGCTTCAGTTCCTAACACCTCGTCCAAATGACCTGATACCACATGCTGTTTAACATCCATTGTGTCTCTGAGCTACATTCTGTACTGGAAAATTGCCAGATGGTTTGTCTCCCCTCAGCCAAAAAAGTGTGTGTTCTCCCTGCAATCCTCAGATTTCATTTTCCTTTAGAAAAGTGTGTAAATCACCTGTTACACAAATACTTCATAGGAGTGTGAAATGGGAAGGCTTGCTCACTGTGTTCCTACAGGATCCACAAATCTTCTCAATTGAAAGAAATCCGGGTTATTTTTTAACAGCACAGATGCTAATACCCTCTTTCTGACCACCTAGTTTTATGGTTGCTTGAAATACATGGCATGAAATCAACTGCTAGTAGCCCTGGATTTGGTGAGGATGCATTACACATATCCAAGTAAATTTAGGTCCAGTATAGACACATCTCTGTGAGCCTCTTTCCTTTCCTTGTCAGCCTTAACCACGATTTATGATCTGACTTGTATCTTGGGTTCAAAATCTGATTTAGACAGAAATCATGGCTAGCATTAATTATGGTTAGCATCTGTGCAGATGTAATGCTACCTCTCTGCCAAAAAGGCAAGGGAGGAGGGACCTGGCACTGGGAAGAGCTGGAGAGAGGAAGGGAGTTTGCATTCTCAGTGCTGGCTTCCAAATTGCAAAGTTCACAGTGAGCCAGAATTCCCCTCCCCGCAGCTCCCCAGCATCTTACAGTTACTGTGCTGGACCTCTTTAAGCCTAGGATTGAAATCAATCTAAGTTTGTTGTATTTACTGTCCATTCACCTATAGTTTTTCACTTAAAATTTGAGAGTTAGATTCTAAGGAACCTAAAGGGAACTCTATGAACAATGAACTTAGTGAACATCTGGTTCGTGCTGAGAAAACGGGAAACCAAAGCAGTCCTGCACACAGTTTGGCATTGCCATTTAAAATGGCTGGGTATTGTGCTGATGTAAAGACATATTATGACCTCTTTACATACTGAATGTTAGCCATATTTTGAAACTGCTTCTGATTTAGGATAGGGAGTGGGTGGGGCAGGGAAACTGACCCTTTTTTCCAGTGTTGAAAACTTGATGAGACATCACAGTTTGTAGGTTTTGCCAGTTTTGTTTATTTTGACACAGCTAGGTTGTAGTTGTCTAACACAATGAAGGATTTAGCACAAATTTGACACAATGCATTAATAAGGAATTGAGAAAAACAGTTTGTCTGCTCTGTATTTTATTTTCAACAGGACTGATTGCTGTTTCAGCCCAGATGATAAACTACTTGTTACTGGTACTTCTGTTAAGAAAGGACACGGCAATGGAAAACTTCTTTTTTTTGAGCGGGAGTCATTTAAGAAAGTATATGAAATAGACGTCACAGATGCAGTAAGTCAGTTCAGTATGGAATCTGATTTGTTTCCTTTTTCTATACTTGCAAGTGAGGATTATGTTGTCTCTCTCATGTGTTTAAATATGATTCATATTTTGTTTTAACATATGTGAATATGAAATGCATGATTCATATTCTGTAAGATCATACTATGGAGTGTATCACACCAGTATTGGTAATTATACATAAGGCACTTTCCAGGTGTCTCATTCTGTTAGTGTAAATGATGTTTTGCTAGCAAAAACTAGGTTTTGAACTATGCACAATAGCACAACAGGAGAATCTAAAGTTATGTTTGAACAATTATAATTGCACAAGCGGTTGTGTGTTATACTTGCTCAACCCATTCTTGTGCATTCCGCTTGTGCAGCTTCTTGTGTAAGCAAAATGGTATTTGTGTAATGGGAAGATTCAGTGGCTCTCTATCAGCACTATTTGCATTTGTGGAATGACAATATTGGATACTGCCCAGACATGTTTTTGTATTATAGATGAGTATTTTGATCAGGGCAAAGTAGATAAGCCAAAAGATACATTGTATTTCCTGTCCCAGTCTCCATGATTTTCATGGGCATCTCATGGTGGGAATGTCCCTGAGGTTCTGAACTTAATACAATTGGTATGTACCTGTGGGCTGGAGGAGCAAGAAGAAGCTAATAGCGCTGTGAGCTTCTTGCATCACAGAAGCAAAAGCTTCCTAAGCCCGGTAAATTGTCTATTGTCACAAGAAAGCTTTATGTATATCCAGCACAAGCTGCTCTTGCTCCCCCTTTCCCAGCCCTTTGATTGTGGCATGGCAAGCCAAGATCTCTTGGCAGGGACAACAGATTCCTTGACATAGCATCCCCAATATATCTGGTCCTTGAGGACCCTCAAAATCTTGGAGCTGTTGCTGGTTCTAAATTCAATTAGAGATGGAGGAAGAACCTGGATTTGGATTACAGAACAGTTCTTTCAGTAGCTTGATATGACCTTTTTTTAAAACACACCTATCCGAGTCCCCAAAGTTACCTGAAATATTTCCTCCACCACCCTTCTAGCATCTAAATTGCTTGTCTCACTTACTTGAGTAATCTTCAGACACCGTAATGTGACATGTTTATTTTGCACTTTACACCCAAAGTACTGTGATCTTGTTGAGTCTTTTATTCCAAGATCTTTGAATGTCTTCTGTCACCTGCTGTGTATGAAGAGTTTTTTTGGGGGGAAGGGGAGGTTAGAAAGTGGAATTCTCAAATGATTTGAGAGCATATAATTTAATACAATGCATATAATTAGGAAATAAAACAGATACATCTTTCATTGGTCCTTTTTGACTCCCATAAGTATTCAAGTGAACTTAAGTAGACTTCAGATGCAGTGCAAATTGTTAAGAAAGGTTCAGACAAATGTTTGTGGCCCATGTAATTCATCTGTGAACAGAATATGAGGGCTTGTTAAGTTTAGTAATAAACCATTCATAATGGGTTCAACACATGAAATGGGATTTTTTTGACAGATGTAAATTATATAGAAAATATGCTTTTTATAGCCATTTAGCTTTTCTCTATCGGACAATGGTGTTGGTAGTAGGGAGGGTGTTGAGGTCCAGACAATATAGATAATTTTGCAGTGCTTAATGGCTATAAATTTAATCTTTAAAATGGCTTGGTAAATAGCCAGTAGATTTTGGCCTGTACATGAACTTGCTCTTTAATGGAAAGTTAATGGCTACTTTTAAAGGCTTGACCGAAGTAAAGTCTCACACGCCTCTCTGTCATACCAAGCAAGCCATTGTTCTCCTCCTTTCTTTTATATTTTTATGGGAAAGTACATTATTATTCCAGACCTTTTCTAAGTGTGTAGGCTAGCTTGAGCACTTGCAACCCTATCCGGAAGGCATTTTGCCAGTGCAGTCCATGCTGAAGTGAACGGGCATGAACAAAAACTAAAGAATACTTATTATTTTGCACTGAGATTCAACACTTTTCTGATAGTCATGGATGTCACTGCAATAACTTCAAAAACTATTCTCATCTTAACTGGTTTGTCTGTGTAAGCATTCAGCATATTCATTTCTCAGAACTCTGCCTCAATTTTCAAAACAGTGTACAGTATAATACAAATCCACAGAAACAAATAATGATTAAAACTTGAATAAAAGCATCATTTAAAATGGATTAAAATGTCAACAACACAAGATGCATTTAAAGGCAGAGCAAAACAGATGCTTAAAACCTGATATGCTCTATGAAGAGTTTGTATAGATAAGTGTTTTTACCCAGCGTCTAAAAGCCATCAGAGAGGGAGCTGAGCAGATGGACAGAAGGGGGTTTTTGCACAGTCAAGGCACTACAACTGAGAAGTCCTCTCTACTTTGCCTCCAAAAGCTGGGAGTACTTTGAGTATGGCCAGAGAGGAAGTTCTGGCAGATAGACCTCTGCTTTCATTATTTCTCCAACAAGTCACAGGATGACAAATATATCCAAATTTCTCATACAGGACTTACCATTCCCATTCTTACATTCAGCAGCTAAAATGTTTTCCACATAGAAAATAATAAGATGTTCTTAGTTTCAGTCCAAACAAAGGTGTATTTTACATAGTTCTGAAATCGGTTTTCCTAAGACAAATAGGCCAGAGTCTGGAGCATTTTGAATTTTGTGGCAGTTCATTCACAGCATTGTAGATAATTTTTCAACCTCCACCTTATTTATTGTAGTTGGCTAATTTCATTGCATGAGCTCCAGTGGTAAGTCATACTTGAGTTATTTAGTTTGTCTACTTTTAGGCAAAACTTTTAGCATAATAATTTAATGTACAGACAGCCTATCTGTTCCAGAGTATAGTAACAGACATGCTTGCCCATCTTGGTAGACTTGTCCTACAATGTGTGGAAGGAGTGATAGTGCATTTTCCTGTACTTACAAATATTTCAGAGAGAATCCATTTAAATTAAATTATCTACAAACTTGATGTTTGCCATGCCAATATTAGTTGGAAGACCTTCCTTTCTTTTTTATTTTTTTTAATTTCTGAACATATTTAGGACTAAAATGCTGGCTATCTAAGTTCCATTGAAGTGTTGTTTGTTAAGGTTATTAATGTTAGACCATTAAAGCAATGTGTTTACCAGATTCCAAGCAGTTGTCAGCTTGAGAAGCAGGACTGTTCAACCACTAGAGGAACAGGTAGTGCCCTTCCTTGACATGTGGAACATATTGCTGAGAGTCCTTGGAACCACCTTATTCATCACTGCTGATGTGAAAGCTAGCTTTTGTATGGCCCATGTTATATGTCCTGTGGCATTCAATCATATATAGGGGTTTAGGACAGGTGTTTCACTGCTGACTGCAGCAGGCTCAGAAGCATAACTGATCCTGTTGAAAATAAAGACAACCCAGGTGGAAGTGATACTGGTGAGTGGGTGCTTAAGCATACACTGTCAGGAGCTATATTAAGCTGCCATAGCAATTGACTCAAAAGGGGAGCAGATTAATTGAGGGTCAAAAGTTGGAGAGGCCCAAATCACATGTATGGCAATTACACAGTTGAAGGCAGAGGGGACTCATGAGTTCTATTGTCAGTGGGACTTCTCATCCATTACAGCACTTATAATGAGCTTTATAGGAGTTAGCCAACCCCAAAATAGGTTCACCGCCGTGGAGCACCATGGATGCCTCCTACAAAGTTCAAAATAAAAACTGAAATGATTATGGAGTTCCATTGACATAGGAGACATAAGCATCCTATGGCTGAATTTTTGGAAGCTCTTATCCAGCTGCTAGAAGGAATTCTAGAGTGGCCAGGTTAAATGGAAGGTAAAGCTAAGGAAATCAGAAATGTTAGAGGAAAACTATAAATGAAATGGTGACTTTCAACAGGGGCAAATAGGGACCCTGGGCATCCAGGCAGCATACATGAAGCAAAGATTATGAGGCATCCTGGACCTTCCCACATTGAAAGAATGATGGGATCTTTATTTTTGTTTCCTTGTATGAAATTTATCCTGCCCTTCCTCTGAAGGGGTCAAAATGGTATGCATGGGATTATCTCATTTCAACCTTGCCTTAAAAACAAGAAGATCCATGCAAGCTCTAATATGATCAACTTTTTCTTGAAAATTTCAACAAAACAAATCCATGAGAAAGGAGCAGAAAAAGAGAATCTCAGCAAATGTAACTGCATAAATTTCAGAACATTTATATATAAGTTGGAAAGCTTTGGTCGCAGTATTGAGCTTGTGGAACACCGCAGTTTACATCCCTCCATTAGGAGAATATATTCCTACTTTCTGCTTTTTATTCTTTACGCAGTTACTGATCCATAAAAGGACCTCTTCTGTTATTCCAGGACTAGTAAATTTGCTGAGGACTGTTTGGAGGGACTATGTTAAAAGCTTTTTCAAAGTCCAAGTGAACAATGTTTACTGGATCAACCCATCCGCATGTTTATTGACATTCTCAGATTACTCTAAAAGGTTGGTGAGACAGAGATTATCTTTGTAGAGCACATGTTGATTCTTTCTTAGTGGGGCCTGTTCTTCTGTGTGCTTACTAATTTTATTTTGAATACCTCTTTCAACCAATTTACCCAGAGCAGATGTTAAGCTAATTTGTGGCAACCTCCAGATTCTCTTCCTGCCCCCAGCCTGTTTTTAAAAATTTCTGCCACATTGGTCATTCTCCAATTCTTTGGTACAGAGGCTGATCTTAGGGACACAGTGCTCCTTTTTGTTAGAAGATCAATTTCATATTTAAGTACTTGAAAAACGCTAGGATGAATACCACTTAGCCCCATGATTAATTCTCAATATATCAGTGAGGCTGAGAACTTCATCTTTTATCAGCTCTCTTTGTCTCAGTTCCTCACACTCCTCTCCTGAAAGCATCCATTCAGGCACAGGTACCTGTGCTTTATCCTATCCAATGAAGACAAATGAAACTAATTTATTTAGCTTCTCCTCATTGTCCTTGTCCTCCTTTAGCACTCCTTTAACTCCATGTTCATCTGTTTT